TACCTCATGATCTTCGACCATCTCCTCTTTTGGTGAACGCCATGTATGGTATTTCATCACAAGGAATTCTCTCCAAGTGGGTAAACCATTTGATTTGCTGTCACTGTATGTAATTTAGAATTGATTTTTTCTCTCAATACCTCATTCATGATTTGCTCCTCTGATCACTCCTGCAACCGTTCTCAGACATCTCATTTCCATGGTTACTAATTTTCTTGTATGGTTTGTTGTGAGTGACCACATCTGGCAGTGGTAGCACAGAGTAGGAATAAATATGCTTTGTATGAGATGTTTCTTTGTGCTGATCAGGAATGTCTTAAACTTTCAGAAAGGATCTAATGTCCAAACATTTTATAAGCTTTACTACATCTGATGTTGTTTTCTTCATCCAGTTTCCTATCTTAGGTGAATTTTGTTCCCAGATATTTAAACTGAAATGCATGTTTGATGCCTCTGCATTCTGCTGCTATTTTTAGGTTCTGCTTTTTTCTTCCTATTGACATTACTCCTGCCTTTTCAGTGTTGATTTAAACATGATTTGCTTTACATTCTTCATTAACAGACATTAGATGTGATTTCATGGTTGTATCTGCTATCAAGACCTGCTCGTCAGCAAAGAGTGTTTCATTCACCTCATTATTATTTTCATTCCTGGGCATTTGGCATCCTTGCATATACTGTCAGTGTAGATGATAAACAGAAGTGCTGATAAGACACATCCCTGTCTTACTCCAGATGTTACTGTCAATGGTTTAGATGTTCCCTGGTTTATTCTATGATTTTACAATCCTTAAATAAACTACTGCACACTTCGATGAGGTGTTGGTTTACTCCATATCAAACCATTACTCTTCATAATACTTCTCTATCAAACGTCTTTTACTGGTCTTTCAAGAAAGAATGATATCACTAAACTTGTGAGTAAACTACTTCCACAGAGGCCAAATTCATTCTTTGTTAGAGACAGATATGTTGTCTGGGTTGCTTTTTTGTGTAAAGACTCCTTGACTCAACATGAAACATAAAGACATATAATGTACTGATTGGTACACATAAATAATATCCCTCACACATAGTGTGTTGCTTGGGATAGAAAGAGTTAATGCAGTGCTCAGGAACAGGATCATTTATGCTACCTCTAACATGGACATAGCAGGCCAATGGATTGACATGACTGTCAAAACCATTGGGGAGAACAACACAGAGAATTTCAAAAAGAGTTGAAAAGGAAAATTGCTAGAATGTGACCAAAGAAAAAAATCTGAGTAGTTCAATATTCAGCTCCTGGATAAAGTATATGCGGCAGGAAAAAGTAGAGGGAAGTGTACAAAAGGAAGGCTTACATGTAGGTTGATAACATCAGGGGATGGACTTAAAGATGCCTGAATGAATGCATGATACACAAGACAAAAAGTGCATTCAAGACATTACAATACGCATTGAATGAGGCAATGAAACTTGATGATGATAATGCTGATACTCTAGAACCAATACTGTAAAAAAAAAATCAGGGTGGAGTCTACAAAGAAAGATATTCAACAGGTATCATCAGTGCAAGCTTAAATTAAATTAAAGATAGATGCATGCACACACCGTGATTGATAATGGACACTAAAATAAACAAAGAAAAATGGACCTGTAAGCCGTCACAAACAGAACCCCCTAAAACTTGTATTAGATGAATATAACTGGCATATAAACACAACACAACGTCTTGGGGTGAAGCTATATGGGAGACAACGGTCTAACTCAGAATTTTGAGGTATCAATTTTGAGGTCAACTTGTAAGTCATAATTCTAGAGTATCCATTTTATCAGGCTGAAATGGGTCACTATTGAGAACATTGGCTCACAGTACTGGCAAACTAAGCACTAGTTAATATACCACATTCAAAATACATAGGTTTTTTTTTTTTACTTTCTCCAAAAAATATGCATGCATTTACAAGATTCTCTTTTATAATGTAACCTCAAAGAATATGCAGCTCCAATTTCACATTATTTACAAGAGTCACAACCATACATGTGATCATATAACTAAGATATTTGACATTATTTAAAAGTAGACAGTTGTGAAAAAGAAAAGGATCCAGATATGATGTTAACTTATCAGGAAATATATACAAGATTGATACTAGAATCTGATCTCTGCTACAAAATTAACAAAACCTGGCGTGAATAATGCAAGGGAATTGTCTACAGGCCCTGGGCACCATTCAATGTAAAGGCAAGACTCGAGGTAAAGGCAAGACACGTAGTTCATTAGATGACAACAGGTACTATCAATATAGAGACTTTGCCGGCCATTGAGAAGGGAGACGGAGTTAGCATAGGCTCGCTCGGAATGCTGAGCTGTCGAATCTTTCCCCAGATGGCTCAATCAATAATGTGACAATGTGCACAATGTTACATTGTATCACATATTAAAGACACTTATGAAAACTATAAATAGAAAATAAAATCACACGCCAGATGTAATCAACACGAATAGTGATCAGACTTCAAACTGACTTGGTCTGCATCGTGAGGTGAGATAACCAGCTCACCTCCTTGCTGCCTCAATATCACAAGTGATCGAGGAGAAGAAAATCCTAAACTAGGAACTGAGATCATGCTGTTGTTGTGAGAAAAAAAAAAAGCTATGCACTATGCCTGAGTTTCCCAATTTGCTAAGACCTGCAAACTCCTGTAAAATTTATTTTTTTAGAGGTCTACCAGGACCCTTTATGTTTGTTTAATAGTCATACTGAAAACTTATTATAATTTATAAATGTCAGAATTGCAGTAAGGACTGCATTCTAAAGCTGAGGTTTATTTCTATTGTAAATGACATGATGGAACCCTTACATTTTTCTGCGCACCCCAGGAGTCCTAAAACTACTAAATGGGAAACATGACACTATGCTTTTGAAACTCTAGCATAGTATAAAATTTTTTAAAAAGTAGGAAGATACACATTAGATACATGTAATCGCAAAAAATGAAGCAGTCAATGATTCAGATATTGCTGTCTTGTGGGGTTCATTCATTTTCCGATGGTAGTGATGAGCGACTCTATTTCCTCCTGGCTACTATTGCTTGAGTTTCCACCGGCTTTGCCTTGAACAGCCACGCTGATTGGCCGTCTCGTCTTACTGGACCATGCAGATTTCTTGTCAGGGAGGTGTGCTGGGATTTCTTCTAAACTTCTGTCAATACATGGAGTCCCACTGTCACCTGATTCATCTTTCAGAGGTCTGCTGACTGGCAGTGGTCCGGTCAAAGGTGTGCTCGGAGTGGTACCTGATTGCAGTGGAGATCTTTCAAATGATCCAGCATTGATGCGAGGGAGGTTTTCTAAAATTTTATTCAGTTCTTGTTGGATGCCTTCAATTTCCCTGCCTTCCTCCAGTAACTGAACAGCGGGCACCAGCTGTATGCGGTTAGGCCCAGTGCGTATGACTGCACTATAACTCGGAGGGGAGACAGAGTGAGACCTGGATATTGATTCAGACCGAGAATGCGACTCTGAGCGGGAGTTGCCATCAACACTGAACCTTTCATGATCTTGCTCACTACCATAGCCAGAACTCTTGTCATAGCTATTTTTAAAGTTACCTGTGCCACCATAGGAACCGCTGTCACCATTCAAGCTTCCATGGGAGGTGTTATTACTGTCCCTGCTTACAGTAGATCCAGGAGTGTGTCCTAAGGCAAAAATATTGCGTATGTTGATTGGATTCATTGGCGGTGGCATGTCAACTGATGATGTGTGGTCTGAAGATTTTGGGATATTTCTACAGCGATAACCAATGTTAAGATCATTATGGTGTAAGAAATGATCACGGTTGGTCCCTGTGTCGACTCCATGAGGAAAGCGATCTTTAAGTTTATTGTGAGCACCATTCATCAGACCGCCTTCTTCTCCTCCGTTAATTTTGTTTCCTGCATCATTTCGTTTTAACAGATACTGACTGAGGTTACCAAAGCTTGGTCCTGCAGTGTTTTGTGTGGAGGTGCTGGTCACAGAAGTCGGGCTGTGGTCTGAGTGTGACGTTCTGTTTGTCATGCCATCTGGCTCAGTCTCACTACTCCGCATATCTTCAGATGTACAAGTTGATGGGGAAAGTTGCTGACTTGTAGGGTCGTCGGGAGAAGGGGAAAGATCAATGGTGGCTTTGCCATTTAACTGGTGCATATAGTCAGTGAGATTCCTCAGTTTTACAATTCGAGACTGTGGAGGTGACAGGGTTTGAGGAGGTAATGCTGTACGCCAAGTGGGCAGCTGCTGAGGCAACACCTGTAGGTGCTGAGATGTCAGTCCATAAGGGTTTTCATAGTGATCGTAAGCTGGCATCATCCCTGATTCAAAATGACCAAATTTTCTCAAAGAAGCTGGAGAATGGTAGTAGTCAGGAAGAGGGAACTGAGGTGGTGGTGGATGTGGAGGAGGAGGTATAACAAAGTCAAAACTAGCAGACTCCTGCAAGTGATCCATATTCTCGGTGGACTCTGCACGAAAAATATTGCGGATTTCTTCAGCTTCTGCATCTTCACCATCATCATACATGTAAGGGCCAACACTATCTTGATCCCCGTTTGAGACACCATTTGAGTCTATGCTGCCTCTTTGGTCCATAGTTGTCAGACGAGCTGAAGAGTTCTTCAAAATGCCTTTCTCTGGCATGATGCTTCCTGGATCCATCACAATGATTGGTGGTGGTGGCAGCTCACTCATTTCACTTTCTTCTTCGCTAGAGGTCCACTTCTTTTTCCTGCCCCACTTTTTCTTTCTCCTGGAGTAAAAGAAAAAAAAAGGAACTTTTTAAATCACATGCCCGATATTGGTTAAACTGATTTCACAATTCACGTTTGCATTATGTGTTTAATATGAAAGATCTCGGTTTGAGTTGACATTTAAAAAAAGTAAATGCAAAATGTATCTATTACACATGCACTAATCTGAAATAATTTTATTTAAAAAAACAAAACCAAACAATGATTCAAAAAATCACACATACCTGTTTCGCTTCCCATTTTTGCTGGTAGTGTCATGGCTTTCTTGTTTTGAAATACTTTTAACTGGGCTTCTTCTCCTATACAAGAATTTTTTTTTTAAACAGCATTATTTGGGTAATATTTCTAACTACAAAATGCACAGTGTGTTATTTTTTCATCTGAATTATAAAGCTAAAGTATCATTAAAAGATTTTCATATCTTTCTCTTCGGCATTCAACCTTAAAAGGGTGAATAGCAAATTTTCACAAAATTGAACTGAGCTACCAGATTGCACCAGCCAAAAATCTGTACCAAGAGAAGTTCTAAGACATGAAGGCAGCTGACATAATACTGACCACATATCCATCAGTGTCAAAAGGTCTATTAAAACAGAAAAGAAAGGGAATGGGGGGGGGGGGGGGGGGGGGGTTTAGCAAATATAATGAGTATGTCTAATGGTGTGAAAACACTTTTGTTTACTTCAATCCTAAAAAATTATCCATATTTGTTAAAGGTAACAAGAGAGAAACAAACTTGTCGAAAATGGAGAAAAACTGTAGCAGAAATTATAGACACAGCTCAGGCTGAACAATATGTTGCTGATTTGGTCTTTAATAAGTTAAATATTAGATCTTGTGGTACCAAACAACTCAGCATATGTTAACTGGTGCTCTTTACATAATATGATTTTTCTTAACTACCTAAGTTCCATGCCACTGTAACATTCTCCAACTCCATCTCCGCTGCTTCTGTACACTATTGTTCGGCAGGGTAACTCAACCTTCATTCGAGGCAATACTAACTGGTTTAGTGGCAGCTGATTTACACAGAATAAAAATAAAATTACAGCTATCTTTTCTTTTTCTGCCTGTATTTACTACTTCTGCAAGGTAGGCGGGAAAAGGGGAAGTGAGGTTAAAGTGAGGCTAGTGCAGTCGCCATAGACTGTGCAGGTTAGGATTTTACTTTTGCCTCTGACAGAAAAAATCCATAACCTTACCAAAGATCTTAATCTGCACTTCCTGCATAAGAGCTTAGCATTTTGATCTGTTTGGCTTTCCTCGTATGGGTTCTGGGGCTCTATTGTAAAGGGGGGGGGGGGGGGGAACAGACCCACTGCCTCCCTAACAAAGGAGTTAAATAATTAGGAGTTTTCTTCAAAGTAGAAGTACGTCTGCCTGAGAGGCAAGAAACCAACAGTGTGTACAAATAAACCAGGTCTGTAAAATAAATGTGCAAACAAAACTCAAGTTCTGGAACAAGACAAAAGTTCAGAAGTGGACGAACAACCAGAAATTTCCAGCTGGTTAATGCGATTGAAGAAATGAAGATAAAGAGCAGTTTGGCCAAGCACTCCTCTAACAGACTACTGCTTTCAATTCGAAATATGAAAATGTCTCCACAGTTGAAACTTACCTGTAACAAAGAAGTGTGACACCCATTGCAAAAAACAGCCCTCCGATGACAGTTGCTAGAATTACTATGAGCAGTGTTGTGCTGATTCCATTGCTATCTGAAATGTACAATTTAGTTATGAACCTAAATAATAAACAAGAATGGATAGTGCTGAGGTGGTGAGCCCTGATACATAAATGGTGCAATAACTTACAACTGTATAAACAATTCTGACACTTGCATCCTGAATAGGAACTATAGTTCTACTTATAGCTGAGACATTTAAGTGGGGGATCTTCTGAGTGAGAAAGATTCTTGACAGCTTAGTGATTAGTAAAAGCTATCACCACATGAACTCCAGACAAATTCACAATTGCTTCAGTGTTCTCCTAGATGAGAATGAGGATGACGAAGAAGAGGAACTACAAACAGTGACTGCTCAATGCTATAGATTGGCACCTTTCCAGTACCTCAGTGTTTGTGATTTTGTCCTGCCACTTAATGCCAAGTATTCTTCTTAAGCATCACATGTGAAAGTTATTTAGCCGTCTCTCCTGGTTTGATGCTATAGAAAGAACTTATAATATGCCACAAAAGCTGCTTGTTAAATTATTACCTACTGCCAAATATATGCAATGTTCATCTCAAAACAGTTCAAGTACTGTAAGCCAGCTATTATTTTACTGGATACTATTAAGTTATACACAATCTGAACTGGTAAAGAAAGCGTAATTGAGATTATTCTGTTATGCAGCACCTAGAACAGGGCTATTCCACTAAGTTTACTCAGGGGCCAAAATGTTGATCATCATGAGCCAGAGACTGAGCATAGAAAGATGATTTAGTATAATACAACTGGCAATGATCGTTGGGCCACTTGCTAGGTCTCTACAGGTCAAATTCGGCCTCACAGACCACTAGTTGAATAGCCCTGACCATCAAAATTTTTCAGTCAGGACTGTTTATTAAACTGTTACCTTGCAACAAAGTGCCACCAAGAGGGAGTGGGAAAGTGCACACTTTTGCTGGATTTATATAATATGCTGATGAAGGCTCTGTAGCCGCAACGTTCACTTTCCGTTTATGTTCATCATATTGACATTGTGAAGCTCGCTGACCTACTTTTTGTTTGGTTTTATATCTTTCCGTTATATTTTGTTTAGGCTTTTAAAGCTGTGACATATGCTTATAGCATTTAATTTCTTGTGAATGTTTTACAACAAATAATTCTTTTCGATGTCCTTACCATCAGTGATTGGAGCAGTTGCAGGCGTGTTGGCACTTCCACTTCCATACAGACTGCCTCTGACCAGGCCCCCCTCGTACTCGCTCAAAGCAATAGCCTTGGCTTCAGGAGTGGTAGATGGCAGAAAAGAATCAGTTTCGTTGTCCTCTGGTTGAAGTCCATCCCCTAAAAATGTGTCATTTGACCTGGTAGAACAGTCAGCACCCTCCCAGCCACTATCACAATAGCACAAGTCATTTGGAGCGCACACCTGGTCACATTAAAAAATATTTCTGCATCAGTACATATCAAAGTTGGTGATAATTGGTAAAAACGATGTAGATAGTTTTAAGAGCCTTGGCGCACTACCAACAAACACATATGAGCAAACATTATGAGAAAAGGCATATTTTCTGTGAATGTTGAATTAAGAATCGACATCACAGCACTCGGGACACCCCCATAAGCGCTCCGTCGCCATCTTCAGCAGCAAGTGAAGAGTTAAAATTCCCATGGTTCCAGTCTGTCTGGCTGTATATTCGCCTCGCCTTTCCCCTGAGTGTCGAGCCTCAGCCAGAACTCCTCGCAGTGCTATTCTCCTCAGATCGTAATGATTTATCTGTTCCTCAGCACTGTTCACTCGCTCCTAAAGGGCCCTCATAACATCCAGCTTGTCATGCATCAGTTCACCACCAAGTGGTGCCGAACCAGCCAGTCTATCTGCATGCTCATTTCCCAACACACGGGCACACCCTGGAGAAAATATGCAAAGGATGCTAACTAGCCTGGACCTCTGAAGTGATGCTTGCCACTCTGCATGGAGCATGCCTGTCTCCACCTTTCTCAGTATGCTCTGCGAGTCAGTTACAATGATGAAATGTATGTACAGCTGATTCTCAAGCCAAGGGAAGGCAGCAGTGACTGCCTCCACCATCTAGATGTGATATATGCCAGGCTTTGTACCAACTAGGAACCTCGACATGGAAGGGGAAAAAAAAAGGGGGGGGGGGGGTATACAAAGAAACAAACAACCATTCTGTCTGAAGCCTTTAGTGGGCAGCAATGATTGGTATGTACAGGTTCCACCTAAGACATGGGAAATGCCTCTGCTAATCAAGCCAACCATACCTAAATGTGGTGCTACCTGTTGTAACAGACATGGCTCCGCCGCAAAAAGCGAGTCTCCCTCACTAACAAAATGGACTCCTGATGCCTGAAGGGACAAAATACAGACTATGGCTGGGATAAGCCATAGAGAAACCCTTGAGTTAACTTGAACGTATAATGTGTTCCTTGGGACTCAAAGAGTTAAATAGCGCTGGACAATGCCACAGATCTCACAATATTCTATATTCTTCTTCTTTCATTTGCATGCTGTCTCTAGAATTTTATCAAATGTCCTTTCATTCATTCAGTGGGACACAAAGTTTGGCTTCCACAAGTGTTTCTCTTTGCCAGAAGTTTTGCCCTGATGCTCTGTTCTATATAAAATTGAAAATGTTTTGACTTTCTCAGAGTTAATTAGCAACAAATGAGTTTCACAGAATGGAAGCAAGTTAAAAACAATACTGCCTGTCATATAATTATCCTCTATCTACAAAACTTACTCCGTGGCCAGAACATATCACAGCAAGGTTTGATGACGGGCATAACAAAGCAGGGATGCTACGCAGCTGCACACAGGAACTGTGCAAACACACTTTGTTCAGTCCACATCTGGTCCCATCCTGCACCATGCCCATGTGTGGCATATCCATCATAGCTGGTCCATGGACAGTCCTTGTGGAAATATAACAAATAATGGGAACACAAACAAATAATGACCTGTTATTTCAGTTAGTACCTTTCTGTCTATTAAGATGACTGTTATTCTGTTGTAAAGGGAGGCATGGGAATTACAGCTTATGGCAATGGAGAATGTGGCTAGCACTCGAGACGGACGCCATGCCTCGAGACCACGCAAACCCCCTAAGAAAAACCTTTCCATAGCTTAGTGTGTGGGCAGTATGCTAATGATCATGTGCTGTCCATGCATCATGATCACTCTCTCGGCTACATTATTTATGCCAAAGGAAAAATAAAACCAAATACTTTTGGAACAAAGCATTTTCCAGAAGCTGCTGGAATAGACTAGTAGTGTTCTTTCCACTTGTCAGAGTTTCCCTCCTAGATCATTTAATCTTCAATGATTATACACATCATCCATAAACTTGTTTCTTAACTAAATCCGACTTACATGGCATCAAGGATCTAAGTGTAAGATGCATTGTGTTCGGCAGCTGAATGACATGTATATAGCCTAACACTGTTTTACTTTTGATCATCACCATTATCTTATTGTACAGTTACATGTCACATAGGGCTCGCAGTACAATCTTCCATTCAGCTTCATCCTGCATCAATCCTTTCAATGTCATGGATGGAATCCAGTCCAGCATCTTTGGCCTCTCTCAAACACATTCTCATGTCTTCAATCCTTTCGTTTCCAATTTCAGTGGCAGCTTGGAGATTCTCTTACCATTTCCCCTCAGGATGTGCCCAACATGGTGCCATCTTCTTTGTTTTATAACTGACGATACCAGTGGTTGTCCAGCATATTTTTTTCATTGGTTGCCATTACTTTATAACTTTATAAGAATTCTAGTACTTACCTTGCGGACGCTAGACCCCCTCCCCCCCCCCACCCCCAACAGAAACAAATTCCACCCAGAAATCAGCGACACTGACTATTGTTATACTGTTTAAATGTACAATGTCTTCAATACAGCTAATCTACCTTCTTATTGTGTGACCTCCATCTCCCAGGCAGATTTTCTTAAGCGTAAAGTCTACATTGGTAACTAATATTACTGCATTTTCACAAGCTATCTAAACCATATGAACTTCTGTTACTTGATGTATCTGGCACATGGTGTTGTTTTCACAGTCTGATAGTAACCTTTTCTATTCTGTTTCTAACTGGTTCTTCTGGCTCCTCAAATTACAAGGGTTGATTTTACATATGAGAATTTAAGTAGTCTTTAAGTATGGCATATCAATATCACAGTGAACGGGGTGAAATTGGAACAAGTTAAAAATTTCTTATATCTTGGACAAGTAATAACATGTGACGGCAAGAAGTGAAACAGAAGTCAAGATTTAAGTAGGGATGGCCCAAAAACATTTTCAACAACATGCAAAAGTTACTGACATCAAGAGAAATAAGCAATACATTAAAAATAGAATTGTCAAAATGTTATGTATTCTCAACCTTACTGTATGGCACAGATAACGATGGACAATGAACAACCCAACAGAAAATCGTATCAATTCTTTGAGATGTGGATATACAGAAGAATTAGGTCATTTTCATGGAAACAAAAGCTATCACATACAGAGGTACTGAGGAAATTGGGAATGAAAAGAGAGTTGCTAGGTGAAATAAAAAAGAGACAAGTGAAATATTTTGGCCACATTAAAAGACATAACAGTGTTGTAAAGATCATCCTAAGGGAATGGTTCAAGGTAGGCGATGCAAAAAGCAACAGCGTTACAAGTGGGAGGATAACATCAAGAGATGGACGAACAGCAGTATGAGTGAGTGTACATCAAGGGCAAAGAGACAGGGCTTGTTGGAGATCCATTGCAGCCAACCTTCATTGGGGAGACAGCACCTGATTGATTGATTGATAAGTATGGCACTGGTAGCACAGTGTTAGTATGAATATGCTACTTACAATGTGTTGCTTTATAGACATGGCTATGTTTGCAGATATTAATAAAAATGATGTCAGTTGGTCTATAAGTGCATGTACTGTAGAATCTTATTTTTTTCCCCATCTATTTTGCAATGCTGTTTTTAAACTCTCCTAGTATTCTTCTTCTTCCCATTCAATAGCTGTAACTCCAGCAGAAAGTTCTGGGTATTCTTCCACTTCTGGACTTTGGTCTTATTTCAGAAAATGAGCTTTGCATGCGTATCCATTTTACAAATGTGTCTTTTCTGTATGCAGACTCTTGGATCACCTATCAGGCAGGCACTCCCCCTTTAAAGGAAACAACCCTAATTAGCTGATTTTTATGACATGCTTATTAAGGTGCAGTGGGTCTTATTTTATCTCTCTCCAAAATGGGGCACCGGAACCCGCATGGTGACTTTTTAGTATTTAAATTCAGCTTATACACAAATTTTTTTTTTTTAAATCACAAACATACAAATGGCAAAACCAGCTCCATACACTTATCAGTTGGAATCAATGATTCACCACAGGGTTTTGAAAATGCCTTGTTAAAAACCCAATTTACAGCAAGGCATTTTCTTCTAGTCAACAAATGGTCAGACACAGACTTGGATTTCTCTCAAACTGGTGCCAAATGGCATACATTCCAAAATGCAAGCATGTGAACAAGAACACTGTTCAACACAATATCGTTATCAACACTATGCTATCAATTTCAAATACGGAGACTTTCTTCAGAAGATAGAAGATAAATAGTTAGGACAGAAATGAAATTTTTAAGTACTACGCTAGGTGTCACGAGGAAAGATCAACTTAGGTACAATGATATCAGGAGGGGAGGAGAGTCGGCACAGGACCAATAGTGAACTTTATAGTTAGACAATAAATCAAATGGTTTGGGCATGTAACAAGATTGGCATCAGACAGGGGACCACACAGAGTAATGTTACACAGATACAGCGGTAACAAAACCAGAGGTCAACCCCGCAGAATTATCAGAGACACTGAAAAGTACTTTATACGAAGTGAACAGAAGGGCCCATTCCAGAAATCTCTTCCTGCCCAGACGCTGCGAAGGCAATCCAGCAGTAGAGAGAAAGAAAGAAGAGGAAGAAACTTTAATTCAGTGATTTTTTTTTTTTGGTATTCTTTTTTGTAATTATGTCCTTGTCTACTCATGTAATGTACTGATGAAGTCTTCATAGCTGCAGGATTCACTTTGTTTGTGACTGTGACAGTGTGGTGCTGACTAGCTCTATTTTCTATCTGGTTTGATATTCTGTCATTATATTCTACTAGACAATTACTAAATAACATACTTGCATTCATACTCCATGTCATTTGCATTGACATTCGTTGTAGAAAAGCCCTTATCAGAACCATACAAGGGAGCACTCCGTCCTCCTTCACAGTGGAGCAAGCCACACATTATGTCACTGCAGGAAGAAATTCATAAAGTTACAATGCTGTAACCCAGTCAAACTATTTCCAAGCTCTATTATATAAAGAATATATAATGGCAGAGAGGGAAGAAAGTAATTATGTCCAAGTGTAAAAACTCAGTCAGTCATTCCTAAATAAAGTCTTTCGTTACAAATCACATGTGACGTCTTTTCTTCTTCTTTTTTGCTTTCACCAGCTGTGAGCTCCGACGGAAAGTTCTGGCTATTCACCCACTTCTGGACTGTAGTCTTGTCCCAGAGCTTTATGCACCCACATTTGTTTCACAGATATGGCTAATTGTATACAGACTGTTGGTTCTTTGCCTCTCAGGCAAAAGCACTCTGGCTTAGAAGGAAACCATTAATTAGTCGACTCTTACAAAACGCTTGTTAGGGAGGCAGTTTCTACTCTTTTCCTCTACAATGGGGCCTTGGAACCCACAAGATGAAATACATGATGTTCTAAATTCAGCAAAATAATCAGTTTCAATGCTAAGATTCCCATTATCTGTCATTAAGAGAATTATCATCTCTAGCAGCTGTGTCACTAGATTTATATGCCATTGTTAAAACTGATATGTTTTTTTTTTGGTAGACAAGAATGGTATCGGGTTATGAATTCCTTTTTTTTAAAACAATTATATGTGAAGCCAATGATGAACAAGCCTACAAACGAACTGGTATAAGTGTGATAAGAGTATAATCTTTTTGTTTTGGCGATAATACCAAATGTGTCTTGAGGTGTGAAAACTACATTTAATTTTGTTTTCAATCCTAAGTAATGCACCATGTGTGTCAGCTTTTACCTATGTGTTAATTATTTTCCTATTTGGTTTAAGTATGCAAAAGAAATCTGGCCAAATTTTTTAAAAGCAGCAAAGAATATGCTTTATCTTTGAAAATCATACATTGATGCCAGTTTCACTACGGTTATTGCACAAACTGGGTTTATATGTGATTGAAAGAGTTAACATTTATATTTCTACTTACTCATACTGGCATTTCGCATAGCTGCCTGTATGCTTGTCCTTGCCACAGTGGCCGTTGAAATTTCCTGTAGGGTTAAAGCGCTGAAAACACTGGTCATGACCACCCTTGGCACCTAAAACAAGATAATCATTTATATTAAAGAAAATTCCCATATGTGTAATGTTTATCATTGCCACAGGAAAGTTGTAGGGAAAGACGCAGGGAGAGACCAACAAAGTGACAAGTGACGTTTAACCCCACCAGGACCAAACAACGAGCCACAAACACTCAGTGACAAAATGTGCCACTATTAGGATGAGAATCACCACTTTTGCATAAGTCCCAGAAACCTGTTCAACCATTAGGTTGTATTGGGGTCCCTGACAACTGCTAGTGTGGGGCTTTAAAATGACAGAAAAACGTTCGTATATTGGATACTGAGAGACCAACAGACAGGACACTAGACATTTTGGTAAGATGGAAGGGAAGAAAATGTGTATCATAAATTATCGGCAGTACACGAGATGAAATTAGTTAGTTAGTTAGTTGGGTTATCATGATTGCACTCCGGACATGTCCTTAGGTGCTCTGATCCTCCCCTCAGTATGAACCCCAGCATCCAGTGGCTAATAGTACCAGTTCTATGTTGATTGCCAAGTCCTCTAATGTGCCTCGTGTAGGTCTCATTTTTTTTGCTATTTTGCCGATTTTAACTCCTAATTCTAAAATTCTGGTAAGTTATGTGGATTCACTGCCCCTCAAGTCCTCCACCCTTTCCACTTCTCAAAGGACATTATAATTATCAGCATGATCCATAGACTGACCATCAGTAGTGATAGCTGATCCAGCCAACCTATCGGCTCTTTCATTTCCTTCTTTGACTGTACTGCAGGCTAAAATGGAATGCTGTAAACTAACACGCTAACCAATATCCTGGATATTTGAATGTCTAATCGTTCAATGCCTATTTCTTTAAGATATCTTATTACGCATTCATACCAAACTTTATCAAGTCTTTTTAGAGTCAATGACAGACACACATCAAAACTTTTACCTGGTCCCCATATGCCCTGACACTGCTTATGTATTGTAGGACAGATGCCTCCCATACAGTAACCTTTGTCTTCAGCGCATGGATGCCCATCTTCAATGTAAGTGTTAAATGGGCACTGGCAGCAGAAAGTTATGGGAAAGAAAAAAGTTTCAATTATAAAGTGCTCAACAAATCATTCTTTAATACACAGATCTGATCTAGAATGAAGTCTAAGATGGGGTTTACTGCTGAGCTGATACTGAAAACTAGAACTACTGAACAACAAAACAAGATAATTATCTACAGAACTGACATTTCAATGTATATCAATAATTTTTATTTTAGTTATTTAGCTAGCTAAGTAGTTCTGGTGATGGTATATGTGTGTATGCATGGGTGCATGTATAGATGTGTATGTATGGAATGTGTGTGTGCATGTATACCCATAACTGTATGTGTGTGTGTTTTCTGTTTGTGCATTTATGTCTATATATGTGTATGCTTGTATATGTATGTAGATGCATGTGTGTGAGAACATCGGAGTATGTATACATGTGTGTAAGTGTGTATGATTGTGTACACATGATGTGTGTATGCATTATACTATAATTTATATTTCTTTTTTAAATCCATAACATGCATTATTGATAACAGGTATTGGTACTCTGAAAAATGAGTACTTAGAAGGTCCGAATGTCAGACGGGCCTGCGTGCCCAATTTGTAACCCTTTGAAAATAAAGTTTGTTTGTTCGTTCGTTCGTTCGTTCTGTTGTTTTACTGTTCAATGAGGCAGATTTTCTTGACCTGTGTTCATTTGTATCTGTAGGATACAGTGGTGATGAACCATATGTGATGGCGCACTAGGACCAGACTCATACTGTTCTAGTCTCCACCTCTTCATGGTCATCCTAGAAACAGATTCCCTACCAGAGCCTGGCAAATATAGATAGGATGGACGTTTCCTTTCAAAGTTGGAGTGCATCTGCCTGAGAGGGCAGGCACCAACAGTTTGCACACAAACAGATGGCATCTGTAAAACAGATAGCATCTGTAAAACAGATGTGCATGCAAAACTGAAATCTTGAAACAAGACAAAGTCCAGAAGTGGATGAGCAACCAGAACGTCCCCCTAGAGTTTACAGACAAAGAAAGAGAAAAAGATTAGCAAATCTGTGGATCTTTCCTGCAATTCAGTTTCCTAGTCATAACTCCAGTACACCAAGTTTCAATTAACATCCAGGTGTGTCAATCACAGAAGTCTTTTTAACTCTTTTTTTGGGGGGGATTCCCAGAAGTTTTAATAATAAACTGCAGGTTGAAATAAAAGTGGTAATAGTAAAAAAGTGAAGATTCAAACAACCACTAGGACAGAAATATCAAACATAACAATAGAATTTGAAACTTTGTGATAACAGTCTGGGACTGAAGGAGGAAAATTTCATAACTGTGAAACAGATGTGCACGCAAATCCCAAGTCCTGGAACAAGGGCAGGGTCCAGAGGTGAGCTGACAACCAGTGCTTTTTATCTGAGTTTACAGCTGGTGAACACTAAGAAGAAGAAGGAGTAGTAAAACAAAACAAACCAATGAACCTAGCTCAGTCATGTCAGGTTTTTTTTTTTTTTTTTTAACGTATCCAGAAACCATGAGTTGTAAACCCTTTGGCTCGGCACTATGGATATTGCAACCCTTCGGCATTGATTCCATTATAGGTACCGTTAATCTGGGAGAAATGTGGCTTTTCTGCCTACCCCCGGGAGTGAACCCGGACCACAAGGAGTTCGTCATCCGGCCGCCGCGAAAGTCAGGTTTTACCAACTTCGCTCAGTCATGTCAGGGTTAAACCAGTGAGCTGCATACTACAGAATGGGATGAAAATTGCCTATTGACAAAAATTCTGAAGAATGCTTGACAATTGGAATGTGGCTGCTCATCCATCCACACATTCTTCACACTTGATTCTTCTTCTTCTTCTTCGTGTTCACCAGCTGTACACTCTGGCGGAAGGTTCTGGTTGCTCGTCTACTACTGAACTGCAGTCCTGCTCCAGAACCTGAGTGTTGCGTGTGCATCAGTTTTACAGATCTCATTCTCTTGAATACAGACTGTTGGTTCCTTGCCTCTCCGGCAGACGCACTCCGTCTTCAAAGGAAGCTCCCCAATTAGTTGACTCTTACAACATGCTTTTGGGGAGGCAGTGGGTCTATTCTTGTTTTCCCCACAATGGGGCCCCGGAACCCACACAGGGGACACTTGATTCTGATTTTCTTGGCTAAACAAAACAGTTCTGTGATGTAATTAACTTCCAACACAGACGCTTAACTGTTCCCTGTGCGAAAATGAAGCTGAAATAGACTAGATTTGATTCAGGAGAAGGTAAAATGCAGAAAACTATACCTTTATTAATTCTAAAGATGCATTCATGGAATACTTCCAACAATGTCAAGACAAATGAAAAGAAGTGTGTTCAGCTCCAAGGAAATTATTTTGTAGGAGAAATAGATTTTTAGACTGCATGTTGCATAGTAGTATTTTTAACAGACCCTATACTTCTAAATGCCTTATTTTCTTCAAGTGCAACTTTAGAAATCAAATGCTTTTGTTTTGTAACTGACATAATCAAATTTCAAAAGATCCTGGAGTTTAGCTTTGCATAGCAAATGGCTGTGATCTTTACCTCTGTGAGCCAAAACAAATGAAACAATATATCTATATTTGATCCACACTGATCTTTGAGCACACCAATTGATGTCAAATATTCTTAATTCTATATGCCAATATCTTGTAATTTTAATTGTAGATGCCAAATTTTTTCTTAGTGCACATCTATCTTTTAATTTACCCCTAAATGCAAATAATAATGGAGTCCCTCCTCACATTTCCATAAAATGTTGAAATTTACATCTACATGACAAAACTACTGCAGTGTACCTTTTTGTGCCAAATAATCTCGAATCTCATATGCCAAGTTGTCTTGGATTTACCTTCAAATGACATATATTATCTAAGTGCACTTCTATACTGTTAAAATAATCATTATATTGTTAGCCTGTTTTTGGACAGAGGTAACATAACAGATAAGTCATAAAATATGAATAATTTAAAAAAAAATGGAGAAAGTAAAATTCTTACATCTCCAGAATGCCCTTCACAGAATTCAGGCACATCACACTCAGACTGCCGGGGCCTACACATGTGAGTGCTGGGCATAAACTGAAAATAAAACAATTAACATACAATTCACTATGGTGTTTTGTAATCATCAATATACAAACTAGAATGTCACTGCTTAGGTTTAAAGGAGAACTGCGGTTAGCTATATTTTTAGAGAGACAGAGTGAAGTAGTTAGTAATGACTATCATTAAAATGTTTAAGAGATAAAGAGTGAAGTAATGATTATCATATAAATGTTTAAGAGACAGGAGTAAAGTAGTTAGTAATGAGTATCATGTACATGTTTAGGAGACAGGAGTGAAGCAGTTAGTAATGACTATCATGTAAATGTTTAGGTGAGAAGAATAAAGCTGACTGGTATTTAATGGAGAATCTGAAAATATCACAAACTGTGAATGAGGAACAATACGAAACTGCTGGGGAAAAAAAAATGAAATTTGACTAAATAACACAAGGTTACTAGTTTTATCTCACTAGTGAAACATCCATCCATTTGATAATTCATACAATGGAAATATAATTAGCCCCCCTCCCCCCCCCCTTTCCAACCTTTCTTGTGCGCACACAAAAAACAACAATAAATGATGATGTTAATACAAGCTCAACAAAATCTCAGTAATTACAGAGCAGTTGCTGCAACATGGTCCTGATCTGCATTGAGCCCAAGGTTGAAGAAGGCAAGTTGTTGGATCGCAACATGGGTCCTTTATTAGGCAATTCTGTAATGAAATATTAGTTGCATTTTAATTTTGTAAATGGCAAAAGATTTTCTATAAGAAAAAAAATGGCAGCTGAACCGATCAAAGAGTGCATCCTATCTCTGTCTGCTTACCAGAATTGCTATCACCCATTCCTAGTTCTTACAGACTGTACAAGCTTTGATAACAAAACAGTAACATTTGTTTAGTTTTTCTGTAACAACAGGGTTGTTGGAAGAAAGATGGCCATCTCTGCAATTCTTCAAGTTGCACACAAATAAACAACTAAAATCAGCAGGGCTCTACAACAACTGACCATTACCTTCCTAAAGGTGACAAATTTGCATATACTCTATATGCCCAATGCGTCCAGGGAAGAAAAAAGGTCTTTTACTTTACTCTTTCAAAAGGATAGAATAATTATTGCTGCGTCTAAACAAAGATCAAATGGCCATACTCCCTGTATGGCTTCTGAGGGCCCATTTTAGGAAAGATAACAATAGACCCACTGCCTCTGAAAAAGTATGTAAGATATATAACTGGGGAGGGGGGAGGGAGGGAGGGGGGGGGGGTCCTTCAAAGTCGCAGTGCATCTGCCTAAGAGGCAAGGAACCAGTAAGCTGCATACAAAGTCAGATCTGAAAAATGGATGTGCATGCAACACTCGGTTTCTGTAAAAAAGACTGAAGTACAGAGGTGGATGAACAATCAAAACTTTCTGCCGGAGTTTCCAGCCAGTGAACACAAAAAAGAAGAAATGGCCACAGGTTATATGATATGCTAGATAGATGCATTTCAAAGAACATACTCAACAGTATGATGGCCTGTTAAATGTTTCAATATTTTTTATTGAATAAAGTATAAACACCTGGAAAAAAAAGGGAGGCCCAAAGATGAAATGGTTAGATGCTTGCATGCCAACGTGTAGGTCTTACGTCTGAATCCACACTGAAAACAAAAATTAAACTCAGCTCCCAAATTGACTCAGACTTAAATGGGTATCAGGTAATGTCTTAACTCTTTGAGTCCCAAGGAACGCATCATACGTTCATAGGTTCCTACCTAGAAGCCCAATGAACGCATGATGCGCCGATTTTATGACTCTCTTTAATATCCCCTGGGCCTGTGATGCAAAACCCCCTGGGACTCAAAGAGTTAAGAAGTAAAGGTGGCCGTCCTGGTGCTGACCACATCGCCCATCAAGCGCATTTTGGTCTATAAAAATATGAATCCAGCAGCATACAGGCCCGATTCCCTACAGATGTTAAAAGGCTTATTTACCACTGGGTGGGTGGGGGTGGGTGGGTGGGTGGGTGGGTGGGTGGGGTGGGTGGGTGGGTGGGGGTGGGTGGGTGGGTGGGGTGGGTGGGTGGGTGGGTGGGTGGGTGGGTGGGTGGGTGGGTGGGTGGGTGGGGGGGTGGGTGGGTGGGGTGGGTGGGTGTGGGGTGTGTGTGTGTGTGTGTGGTGTGTGTGTGTGTGTGTGTGTGGTGTGTGTGTGTGTGTGGTGTGTGTGTGTGTGTGTGTGTGTGTGTGTGTGTGTGTGTGTGTGTGTGTGTGTTGTGTGGTGTGGTGTGTGTGTTGTGTGTGTGTGTGTGTGTGGGTGTGGCTGTGTGTGTGTGTGTGTGTGTGTGTGTGTGTGTTTTGAACTTTGCTTTGTAACAAAAATGCAAGCACTAACCTCAGGGGTTCCACAGTCGCATTCCTCTCCTCGTTCAACAATGTTATTTCCACAAGTCTGCTTGAAATCAGTCTGCTCGAGAGAAAAAAGAGAAATAATAACATTTGAAATTAATTTTCTGGCAATTATGCTGACTCATATTAACATCAGAGCTACTTACTGCTCTGGGGAAAGCAACCTTAGTATCCTGGGCTGTGTACCTGCTCCTACTCTGTATACTTTACAACTACTTAAGAAATATGCCTTTCGATATATATAATATATATATATATATATATATATATATATATATATATATATATATAGAGAGAGAGAGAGAGAGAGAGAAAGAGCGCACCCACGCACACACACACACAGTTTCTGTAATCAAACAAGAATGTAAACTAACTGACCTGGATTTGTGGAGCACCCCAGAGACAAGAAGTAATTCCCATGTTTAGGCTGACATCCAGATCTGCCTTGCTACATGTGGAGAACATTCTAGAATGGAAACCACCTGCACCCCTATAAAGAACAAAGACATAAAATGATACAAAATAATTCAACTACAAAAACAAAAAACATGTTCACATATATCTTACACAACAGGATAAAAATATATTTGGTTTTAACGACATAACTTATATCAAGAGGATCAACTCTACTACATTATCCATTATGGTTCAGTCTCTCCAGCTAGCCACCTGCCAAGAGCACCACCCAAACATGAACTCTGCAGCTGCAGCAACAAGCCCTAGAGATATTCAATGTTATAATGTTGTTTAATTATTGTATTTGTTCCTCTCATAGTCCACGCCATTAAATGTTGGTAGCATTTCTGCCCACAGCCTTCTTATCATCTGCACTATCAATAATTTTCTAGGTCAAAATATCCAAATCTTTTCTGTTGTCTTCTCTCTCTCTTCCCGTGAGTGTGTATTTATCAGTGTCTGTGCGTATGTTTTTTGTGTCTATGTGTTGTGTCTATGTGTGTGTGTGTGTGTAAGTGATGTGTCTATGTGTTGTGTCTATTTCTACTGTGTCTGTGAATGTTGTGATTGTGTTGGGTCTGTGTGCGTATTAAGTCTACTGGTCATGTCTGTATTGTATTTTTACATGTACATTTGAAGGTATACATTTGTCATCAATACTTTCTTATTTTTACTTTACATTCACACTATGAATTTTTATATATGAACATAAAATGTTTGATATAGAAAACAATATTGCTGTATTAAAGATGAATGATTGGAAGGGAAAATGTAAGATGGGCCCGCACGCCCAGTTTGTAACTTTGGGAAATAAAATGCATTCGTTCCCCATCTCTGGTTCATTCACCTTCAACGTTTGCATTACCATGAGGTTTCCCCTTCTCTCTCTCCACAGCCCTCTGTTATGTGTACGGTCAATGATTTATGATGCAGATGCTTTATCAATCCATACTCTGTTCTGTGTACGGTCATTGATTTATGATGCAGATGTTCTATCAGTCCATCCTCTGTTATGTGTGTGGTCAATGATTTATAATGCAGATGTTCTATCAGTCCATCCTCTGTTATGTGTGTGGTCAATGATTTATAATGCAGATGTTCTATCAGTCCATCCTCTGTTATGTGTGTGGTCAATGATTTATAATGCAGATGTTCTATCAGGTCATGATGTCCAACTATCCAACATTTCCTCTAGTGGTCCTCATCTGGTTCTCTTCCCATTCCCATGATGTACTCTAACCTTACTCATGATATGCCCATATAACTTTTACTTTCACTAGTCTTCTTCTTCTTCATGTTGACCGGCTGAAAGTTCTGGCTGTTCATTTTATTTCTGGACTATAGTCTTTTTCCAGAAATTGAGTTTTGCATGCACTTCTATTTTACAGATACGGCTTATTGTATGTAGACTGTTGGCTCCTTGCATTTGAAGCAGAGGCACTCTGACTTGGAAGGATCATCTTTAATTAGTCACCTTATACCACATACTTGATAGTGGGGCAGTGGGTTCAAAAACATAGGGCTCCAGAACATACACTAGGACATAATTCTTCAATAGCTAGCAATAATAAATGTGAACTCACAAGACTTCTGTTGACATGATGCAACCAAACTCATCATCACAGACACACCCACCTGAAATATCAAAGAAGTTTCCTTAAATATTCATGTGTTAAAATTAACTTACCACAAACACAAACCACAGTGTACATGTTGTAACTAGTAATCTTTAAAAAAAAAGGGGGGGGGGGGGTAATTCCACATCGGATACTGCTTACATTAACTGGTTAAATTTTCATTGAAAACTAAGCAGTATTCATTAGCTGAGTTTGCTCTTTGTTAATATATTGCCATTCTTTCCCACAGATACACAAGTGTGGGGTTGGGGCTGGAGCAGCTGTGCTAGACTGGGCATTGATGTATAAGAGGGGTCTTATGCAAATACTAGTCTGGCAAAGAAAAGAGGGATTTACAATGGTCTTCTTTGTGACGAGGGAGCCACGGCAGCTTAACGACTAGATATGAATGACCAAACACCTGCCTGCTGGCCCAAACATCTTGGGTTTAAATTCACATCAAGTCAGAAATTCAAAATTAAATTTGGCACCCAGGTCAACCCAGCCTAAAATGGGTATCGGTTAATGACCTGGCATAGTGTTGACCATATCCCCTTCCAAATCCAGACTGGTCTATACAATTATCAGGCTAACATTATTTGAGTCACTGGCGTAAAAACTAAACTTCCTTTTTTTAAAAATTTTCTGTGACATCACAGGTTAAACAAAAAAATCTAACTTTGTATGCTACAGGAATATCAAAGACAGTTTTAGTAACTCCTGATGTTGATGGTGGATAATCAGCACTCAAGCCTTGCACTTAGCGAGCATATGAAAATGCGCAATACAGAGTGTTGAACTATGTCATCACCTGCCTACATTTCTCAAGTCACACAAAGAGTGAAAACAACACAACACAACAGCAACATGCAAATGTTCATCAGTTGTTGCTTGATTCCATTTACAGTTTTCTACTGATTTAGCTTTGACGAACTACTTAATCAGATAAACTTTACAAAAGGGTGAAGTGTCTATAGTTGAAGCGACCAGAAGAGCAAGAAGCAGAACCTCATATGCCCCTTGACATCTGAAGCAGTAAAAGAGGAAGTAAAGAAAAAATAAGGTGAAGAAAAAACATGATTCACCTACAAAAAGAAAATGATTATCATCTATTACTGCATCTAATAAATTAATGACAATTATTATACCAGTCTGAAAATAAGTTTAAGTGCTTGCATTACAGAAAAAAATTTCATAATGACACAGAAGATTGACCAAATAATTAACTATCACAGCAATCAGACAACGCTAAGGAAACGTTACACTATGTGTGTATTAACACACTAAGAATGACATAACACTCTGTGATAACATTAATATAGAACAAGAATAACATAACATTCCGTTATCAAATTAATGTGGAACAAGAATAACATGAAACTGTGATCAAATTAATATAGAACAAGAATAACATAACATTCCGTTATCAAATTAATATGGAACAATGCAGTAAGGCCACATCAAACACAATGCAATTCTATTCATACAAGGTACAAATAAAGTAAAGTGCTGGCTGGCAACCTTCAGACTGTAACTGTCTATTTACAAAACAAGCAGCTGGCAACCTTCAGACTGTAACTGTCTATTTACAAAACAAGCAGCTGGCAACCTTCAGACTGTAACTGTCTATTTACAAAACAAGCAGCTGGCAACCTTCAGACTGTAACTATTTACAAAACAAGCAGCTGGCAACAAATCAAAGACACTGGCAGTCACTTTGAAGACAAAGATTTCATTAAAAAATGTTTCCCTGTGGGGGGTCTGGGGCCAAACTTGCAGTGAGGAGAGATCAAACCCACTCCCTCCTCCTCCTTTCCACTACAGGCCTGTCATAAAAAGAGATTAATTAGGAGTTTGCTGAAATCAGGTGTTTTTGGTCCAAGGGTGTGGATATCAAAGCCTAGCTGTAAACCAGACCACAAGGAGTCATCCCCCTCTCCCACCCCAGAAGAATTACAAAATGTTATCATAATCATGAAACGAGTTGTTTTCACTGCAATATCAAGCTTGTGGAATCAGACGGTCGGCTCTGTGGCTAAGTCGATGAAAACACATTGTAATGCCGGGTTCGATCCCAGCTGCTGGCCATGCGCCTTGCGTTGATTTTGACAGTGGTATCAAGAAAGCCGACAGTTCAGAAAGCAATGGCAAACTACTGGATGTAAATTTGCCTAGAAAAACCATACAACAGCCAGGGGCTGTTGGGGTTGGTTCTGCAACGTCCTGTAAAGGATACGCAACTAACCAGAATCAGACAAGAGCTTCTTATCTGTACTTCTTGTGGGTTTGTTTTTCCCAGCCTTAGATGTTCAGTAAAGTAAAGATGGGGAGTTAACCGGACAGCAAACTGGCAAGATGGGTTTAGCAGCCAGACAAGAAAATTAATGCAGAGGTATTTTAAATTTATTTGGTATATAACAGAAAGGGAGGAGGTTTTAAGTGGAAACATATTAAGGTCAAACAAAGAAACAACAGAAGTCAGATGTTTGTGGACAGCTTAAACAACAGGGCTACAAACAAAATTATGCAACATTAGATTTAGTAAAATATCAGATAGGAGTGTGAGTCAAACTGTTGGTTTCTGCTCAGATCTAGAAGTCTTTTACTATACCCAGTCTACAGAAAGACTACAGATTGTTTGTGTCTACTTCAGTCTGTGCCCCAAACATCAGTCTGTCCACACTTGAAGATTCTGCTAGTCATTACAAAGTTAGATGTATAAACTTTACAGGATGCTGCAGAACTAATCCCAGCATTTTTGGGGAGGCTGTTTGTGGTTTTTCTAGATACATTTTACGTTCTGTAGTTTGACATTGCTTCCTGTACGGTCAGCTCTCCGTACCATGTGAAAACCAAAGCAAGACGTTCTGCTATAAAATTGTCTGCAGCTGGGATCAAACCCAGCACCTCAGCATTACAAAGTGCATTCGCAACACCTAAACCATGGATGCTAATCAATGACAAAAATCTTGGGAGTCATTGGGGCATGAAAGGTTTCCACCTTTACAAGGTAGAGGCACACAGACAGAACATTACGAAACAAAGCTGAAGAACACATAAACATAACCAAATAAACATGCTACTCTGAAAGGACCAAAGGTAAGTTGATGGAATAAGAACTAAATGAGAGGGTTGCAACCACTCACAAAACTGCAAAACAAGCAAAGCTGCAGTCAAAACAGGAAAGCCTAGGCAGAGCAGATAATAATAAACTAACCAACAATAATGCATTAATTAAATGCTTTAAATAAACAATAAGGGGAAGCTTATGAACTTTTCTGGAGATTCTGTTATGTTTAGATACAGCACTGTAATGGATAGCATGCTTGTCCGGTGATGTGTGCAAATGTTTTTAAAGGCTGATCTTTCAGAGCTGACGTGCTTCCAGTCTAAAATGGGTCCCAAAACAATTAGGAGAAATAAATGTATAAAACTGACAGCATTGCCCAATAAGTGCCGGCTGGACTATCAAATATGGGCCAAACACTCTGTACCCAATGAGTGCCGACTGGACTAACAAATATGGGCCTAACACTCTGTACCCAATGAGTATCGATTGGACTATCAAATATGGGCCTAACACTCTGTACCCAATGAGTAAAGACTTAACTATCAAATATGGGTCTAACATTCTATACCAAATGAGTACTAACTGGACTATCAAATATGGGCCTAACACTCTGTACCTAATGAGTACTAACTGGACTATCAAATATGGGCCTAACACTCTGTACCCAATGAGTACTAACTGGACTATCAAATATGGGCCTAACACTCTGTACCCAATGAGTACTAACTGGACTATCAAATATGGGCCTAAAACTCTGTACCCAATGAGTACCGACTTAACTATCAAATATGGGCCTAACACTCTGTACCCAATGAGTACTAACTGGACTATCAAATATGGGCCTAACACTCTGTACCCAATGAGTGCAGACTGGACTATTAAATATAAGCCTAACACTCTGTACCCAATGAGTGCCGTGTGCCGACTGGACTATCAAAAATGGGCCTAACACTCTGTTCCTAATGCATGTGAGGGCACAGAAAAGATTACTTTTCTTTTACAAATGTATATGACTTACTTTAATAAGAGGGTCCGAACAAATGTTTTTTTTTAAAAATAATTGTTATACATGTTATGCTTCAGCTGAAAATATTTTACAGCGAACAGCATAAAAATAAAACTATACACATAGCAAAGTTAGCAATTTCACCTTTAAAGATGTACTGTTTTTCAAGCCTACTTTAGGTGAACACCCACAGAATGGAAAAAATAATACCATTATTGTTTTTTTCTCTCCACTCTTGATATAAAGCATGCTTTTTAGTGATCTAATCATACTACTACTTCTTCTTCTTAGCATTCATCAGTTGCAAACTCCTGCACAAAGTTCTGGTTGTTCATCCACTTGTGGACTTTGGTCTTTTCTGAAACTTGAGTTCTGGGAGCACATCCATATTACAGATCTTAATTATTTGAATGCAGATTGTTAGTTATTATCCCTCAGGCAGATGCACTCTAACTTTAAACAAAACACCCCTAATTAGTAGCCTTTTATGACATGCTTGCTAGGGAGGCAGTGGATCTATTATCTTTTCCCCAATATGGGGGTCCCAAAACTCACATGGCGATAATCACACTTGACTGACTATGGCATGTTGTCAGAAAGTACCAACCTCTTTTCTCTACATTTTTGAAAATGATGTTAGTGGTCAGTTGGGCACTATTGCAGTGCCTTAGCACAACAAATGAACAAAACCTTAGCTAGATATGCTGACCTGTATATGTACGTGTCTAAACAATTAGGGGGCAGATTGGTTGACTTCTAAAGCACCTATATTATGCAATTTTCAGACAGACAATCTTCAAAAGCACAAGCTACTATGCAAAGGCTTCTGTGTGATGATGCAGCATGCAATGAGACAACAAAATACTGACTGAAAATGTACAAAATGGAAATAGTGCTACATCTCAGTCAGAGATTTGATACGTATTCAGCCAGTGATGGCAGTAGTTGAAATCCTCACCTAGCTATGTGCTGAAGAAGATATAGCTCCTATGAGATATTCTGAGTGCACTTACATCATTTATGTTAGGTTTTAAACAAGGCATCAACATTATGGCACAAGGGTAGTAACCCATAAGTGCTCTGTTCTAACTCAGGCCTGAGTCCGAAGAATCTCGGGACACTGTATGAACTCTGTAGCATCGAGAGGATCTTAAAATACTGGGTGCCATTAGGCTACTTTTTTCAAATTCCAACTGCCTAGGGATTTTTTTTACGCACGCAACAATAAACAAGGGCGTTCGATCTTACTACCCAGAAACCAGAGAAAAATTACTTTAAAAAGTGCACGTGAAAAAATCCCAGCCTTCAACGGGGCCTGAACCCGGGACTTCCAGCACTCGGGGCGGACGCCATGCCTCGAGACCACTCAGCCCCCATTTATATTTATGTTAACCGATAATCAATGCTGATAACAGCATTAAATAACATAAGTCACCTCAGAAACTACCAGTGAAAAGTGATTTTTTTGGGGGGGGAGGGGGAGAAATGCTACGCTACAACTACTAAATAAATGACACAGAATACAGAGACATGTTACTTGACTTCACGTGCCTGGTCTGGAGCAGTGATAAACACTAAAAGGTAAAGTCGGGAGATGTGAACCAGTGTCACCGCACACGGTTATAAATCATAAGTGCTCTGCCCCCAGTACGGACATCTGATAAGAAATTGTCCGCCTGTGTCGCCGCCCGCATGCAACTCGGTAGCTAGAGCGACATTCCTCCATTTACCCTAGAGTGTTAATTATGGTACCCATTAGTTAGAGGCTGGGTGAACCCCAGGAACTGCTTGGTTTTGAACACCGGCCTTGGGCTGCAACGAGTCGCAGATGGATTTTAAAACTAGTCTCCTATTGACTGCGCTAACGTGACCCCCAGTGATAAACACTAAACAGTTCAATACTCCTTATATTCTGATATTTTGATAAGCTGATATGTTTATATTTTAATCTGCTGCCCATCTGTATAAACTTTCCACAAACAAAGCTTTATCTGTCCTCCTCTGCCTTTTGCTTAATATGATTCATAAACCTAATTTTTTTTACTTTTACTTTTCTGTTGAATGCCAAATAAATTCCATTTGTCTTTTCATTTTGGTTTTGATAAGTGATTGTTAACACATCTTTCAATACCAGCGTTTGCTTTCTTTCTGTAGCCAAGATTTGTTAACATTCATCTTTAAAAAACCAGAACAAACACTTTATTAACCAAAGCTCTTCTGACTTAACCTTTAAACCGCAAGATGTCACTAATCCAGCATCGCCATCAGTCACTAATCTCTATTAACACCACTAAACCAGTTGAGTTTCTTCCAAATTCCGTCACAAATTGTCCGGTATCTCCACCCATCCAGAAGGACAAACTAATATGAAGCATTTTGGACAGCAGCTTTTGGTATGTGCCATGATTTTTCCATCTCTCATAAACACTACAGTTCAGAGAAATAGATTATGCTCCAAAATACTAATGGTTATTTTCATTCAAGCTCAAACGAATAGTTAAGTTACTACATAACAACTGCTTTGAAATTGTTTTTTGTTATTGTGTGATATCTTCAAATGTGACATTAGACTAATGTCTTTTCTCTGAGGTATCGTCTGTCTGAGCAATTTTTTACAAGTAAACAAATGATATATGATTGCCACTAGCAATGTAATTAACACACAGTAATATAATGTAAAGAAAAATACCATCATGATACAGTCTTCTCCACTCAGCTGCATTTGTTGAGAAAAGGTATTAACAAATTGCATACAGTTAGTAAAATTGACTTATTTCTTTTGTAAGCAAGTGTAAAATAAATGTTTCTATAAACTTACCCCCTCCACCTCCCCCTCTTAAAGTAACTATAAAATAAAATCATGGAATTAATTTATTTGACACTAGACATGACAACAAAACTTCTAAATATCAGATGTCAGATGTGGATAGGCAAGTTATCAACATGACATATTCTAATGAAAAAGTTATGTACAACTTAAACCTTTAGCATTCAAGAAAGAAAGAAATAAACAAGAAAAACACTTCACAGAATGAGGTTAATAAAATTATATCTGAACTATGAAGCACCAAAGACTAAAATGACTAAACAAAAATGCTACCAATGATATTAATTAAATTAGTGGCAATGAGGAAACTGAAAACCGGTCACAAAAATATTTGTGAACATTATAAGATTTTAATAAACAGAACAGGTAAAAGTAATTCCAATAATGCTTCCATAGTGTGATATGATATGACTTATTTTAACTAGGTGGGGGAAAAGAGTTAGTTGCATATCCTTTAAGGATATTGCAGAACCAACCCTAGCAATTTTTGTGTTCACTAATTTGCCATTGCCACCTGAATGGTCAGCTCTTCACACTATTGCCCAAATCAATGCAAAGCGGCCAGCTGTCCAAATCATCAGCAGCTGGAATTGAACCAGGTATCTCAAAATTACTAAACACCTAAAACTAGGAAAGCTATTATGAAACAAGGTGTCAGGTTTCCTACCGCATCACTTCTACTTCTTAAGAAAATCCCTGATGCTCATTTAAGGAGGTTAGACAGACCAAATAGCTGTATGCAATCAAGGTGAAAGAATCCCTCACATAGTGATTAACAGTTTGACATAATGGCATGGAAGATCATGTGTCAGAACTGACTGAAAGCATACAAGACAGAAGGTTGTGGGTAGACATGACTGCCAATGCCAAATGGCATGGATTTTAAGAAGGAGTAGGAGAAGCTAAAGATATACTAAAACAATCTCATAACAACCTTCAGACTGAATTAACATAAGAAAAACAGCAAAATTAACAAAATGGAAATAGATAAATAGGCAACATATTAACATGGCAATGGTAAGCATCCTTATTTTATGGTTAATATTTGTTATGAATTCTTATCAAGAGAAGCATTCACTTTGTAAAATGAACTCACCATCTTCATCATGTTCAATTCCTAGAATATGACCTGCCATATGTGACAAGATGGTGGCCGTCTGCTGAGGCTCAAACGGCCGACCACTCTGTAAAATACAGGACAATATTAACTACACATTTCTATATCCGCACACACTCAGATATTGCTAACAATACCACTACACTGTGGTTGTCTTCTTTAACTTTCTAAATGTTCAATTCACTATACACAGCAATCTTTTAATTTTCTTCTTCTTTGTTCACCAGCTGTAAGCTCCAGTGGAAAGTCCTGGTTGTTCGTCCATTCTGACTTTGAACCAGGGCCAGAGTTTTGCATGTATACCTGTTTTACAGGCTTATTTGTGTGCAGTTCACTGTCTTTTTTTCTGCTCTAGCAGATGCACTACAACTTCAAAGGAAGCCCTCAATTAGTCGTCTCCTACAACATTCTTGTTGGGGGGGGGGGGTGGGGGGGGGGGATGGTGGGTGTTTATTCTTGTTTTCCTCATAATGGGGCCCTCAAACCCACATGCAGAAATCTTCCAATCAAATACAAAGATTTTGTTTTCTTAACCATAACATTCTTTTCTTTCTTTATCTTATTTTATTTTCATTTGTATTCAAATTTATGCCAAAGTCATGTTCCTTTATGCCATTTTAGCACACTATAACGAAAATCTCTGCCTGTATTGAGTGTATTGCACATTTTGTAAATTAAAAAAATTTCTTAATCTGGTGTTCTTGTGTAAGATCTATTTAACAGTGTCAATGTCACATCCAGTAGGCGTGTTTTAATAGTGGATAGCTTGAGACAAGTTTGCAATAGTAAATAAGCCACCATCAGGCACAAATGAAGAGCATAATACCTTGACAACTGCTACTGCTCGTTCAGAACACACAGAGTCTGGAACTGCAACCCCAACCTTCTTATCAAGCAGCTCAACACCACTGAAATCACATCATTTAATGCAAAGACATAATCATAAATTTAAATTGCAATGGATTTATATTTTAAAGTTAATAGTTGTTTTAAATATCTGAAATTATCATGATCGGTAATAAAACCCTAATTACTTAGAAATAACATCGGAAGAACAGTTGGCACTTCTTGTTGGATGACCTAGATAACTTAAGTTTAATAGCCGCCCTCTTGGATTCTGACGTCTCCTGGACTCCACCTTTCAAAGCTAAGTGACATTTTAGTTATTTTTTCAAATGTAGTAGTAACAGTAATTTCTTTTTAATGTTAAGGCCTTTTAGCTGCAATGTTTGTTCCATTCCTTATGATTGGGCTCTTGTAAAACTGACCAGCTCCAACTTTTATATTTGTTTCTTGACTCCTTATGATAAGCTAACAACAATATCATTATTTTCAATAATTAAATAAAAAAAAATTTTTTTTTAAATAATAATAATAATTTTTTTAAAAAAAACTCTTATTTTCTTTTTTCTGTGGTCTAGTGCTTGCACACCCACTTATTAACATAGAAATATCGGTATCATGCGTCTCACAAAGTTCTGACATCAATCTGGCAAATGAATAGATATTGTGTACAATAACAGAATTTCTATAACTCAATCTTTATAGCAAAATAAAAGCAAACCATACATCCCAGCAAACAAACATTTTTAAGTTAAATGATTGCAATTCAAAATACATTCCAATTTTATTTTTAATAAGTATAAATAAACTAGAAATGTACTTATTAGTCCCCAGAAAGTTTCAAGCTTATCTCCTTATAAGAATTTGTTAGTTTAACTGATAAATTTTTGGACCTAAAGAAGTGCAAATAACACTGTGGTAGAAAGAGTTACAAAGACAACTGGGGCAGAGTGGTTTAGTGCAGACTTAGGATGTTACGCATGTCACGTTTGTAACTGACTCACACAGCATGTTGAGATTGGTGGAAACATGTATGCCCTATGCAGAGTGGCAGGCACCGCTTCAGAGGTTCTGACTAGTTAACCTCTTTTGGATATTTTCTTCATAGGATGCAGACATGACAAGCTAGATGCTGTCAGGGCCCTTTGGGAGTAGGTGAACAATCCGGAGGCACAACTGATCTGGAGAGAATGGTGTGGTGGGGAATGACCGGTGGATCTGGTGACACTCATCTCCTACAGGAAAGCTGAGACAGACATACAATCAAACTACTACTCTCCGGGAAGCAATAATGTGGTGGGGAGTGACCAGTGGATCTGGTGACACTCATCTCCTACAGGAAAGCTGAGACAGACATACAATCCAACTACTTCTCAGGGAAGTACTCTCCAGTGGATCTGGGTGACACTCATCTCCTACAGGATACAATCAAATACTCTCTCCGGGAAGCAATGGTTTGGTGGGGAGCTGACCCAGGGAACTGGTGACATCCTCCTACAGGAAAGCTGAGACAGACATACAATCAAACTATTCTCGGGAAGTAATGGCTGTGGTTGGGAGTGACCAGATCGGGACACTCATCTGGTGAAACTGAACATTCAATGCTCGGGATAATTGAAGTCGGACAGTGTCTGGGCCAAAAAGAAGACATACTAAGCACAATGGTGTGGTTGCGTGACCAGGGATCTGGTGAGATATGCTGACAGACATACAATCAAACTACATTCTCCGGGAAGCAATGATGTGGTGTGCAACAGTGGATATGTCACTTGGAAAACTGAAAAAAAGAAGAAAGAGGCTGCTACTGGTACCAATGGAACTCTTTAAACTCTGCGCAAATATCCAGATATGCTGTAACTGAAGATAGTCACTTGGATAAACTGGAGGGCTACTGGTACTGGATATTTAAACTCCAGTGCTATGATGTCGGCTGCTATATGTCGGCTCTTAGCAAGGGGTTAAGGTAAACAAATTTTGCCAACAGAAACTGACAAACATAATGAGTTGCAAGGCACTAACTCCCCTCTCTCATTGCGATGATATTGAAACTTCACAAAAGTATTTTCTATTTTATCGTAAACAAAACAATTTTCACAACTCCAAGTCTAACAATCTGATTCAAAAACAATGAAACATGTCTTACAGATTAATGAATTTTTGTACTTACGTCACTAAGAAAGCAGCATCAAAACTTTCACGTGGCAGGTGTGCTTTCTTGAAATGCAAGAACTGGCTCAACAATGCTCGGTGATTGCCATCGACATGAAAATGGTTTTGAAGGTTCCAGAACTCCAAATAAGTCAAAGCTACTTCAATTCCAAGCTCTCTGTAATACTATGATTACAAAATGTAAATAGACTACATAATCTACTATAACCTGATATGATTATGTTGATACAAGGAACAAGTTTATAAAATGAACACATGCAACTTATTTTTAAAGATTCATATTTAACATTCATATATTTAAAAAAATTCACAATATTTTATCAAAGAAGAAGTATGTTTGTTTATACCGCTTGCATAAAGATAGAATAGACTGCTCTTTCTATTGTATATTCTTAAAGTGATTTTTAAATCCGACTATATTTTCTGAAAGCAGAAGTATAGTTTTTTTTTTCCTTCTTAAATTCTGTTTGCTCAGACCGGAGAGTAGGATGTTTTTCCTGGTGTATATTTAAAAAAAAATTGTAAAATCATTTCATGATTTAAAATTTAGTTTTCTGTTCATATTAAAGTACTATAGATGCCAGTTCAAAAATATTAATGTCCCTTGACATAAACCAAATGCTACAGCCCCTCCTAAATCAGTGTGTCACTTCCTTTCCAGTGTCCATACACTGCAACAGTACGTAAATGCAGATGTTTCAGCTGTGAGTTATAGAGATTTTGCAACAGATTTGTGAATTTATGTATTGTTGTCTGTAATTGCATTATTGTCCATTTGTGTTGTATGCTAATGAAGTCTTTCTAGCTGCGATGTCCCTTTTGTCAGTTGCGACCGTGGTATTGTGAAGCTGACTAGTTCTTGGATCTTAAATTCAGCTTCAAAACAAATGAGTCAGCCCATAGTTGCTCCGCTCCTGTGCCCAAAAAAACCACTAACAGATTGTCCATCACTGTCTCTTGTAAAAATAATTCGACACAGATTTCTCAGCATTTCCACTAGCATACGCATTAAAAGCATAAGGTAGCCATCAGAAGTGCTAACACAAACAGTCCAAAATTAGAAATACAGTTCACCATCAACAGAAGCAGCAGTTTCAAACAGATCAGCAGTTGTACACACCGTCAATTTTAATCACATAAAGCACCACCAAATCTGTGGGAACAGGCCACGCATCATTTTCTAAGTCTACAGTTCACAACATCACGCTGGTCAGTCGAAAAAACATTTCAAATGAAATCCGCAGCTCAAAGTGTCATGCCATGCACTCAACTCAGTAGCTGGGCTATAAAACTACATCCTTTCAGTCTACAAATGGAGGATAATGCAACGGTCGTCGTCTGTCAGAAGTAATAAATTTGCCATGACTAACTATAGTGACTGTGCTTATCATCTATTTTCAGCAAAAGCCTCAAAGACTAGTTCTGCTTCTCATTTAGATTTATATTGTTTTTCAAGAATGAGGAAGCAAACGATGAGGTGTCACATTGTGGGATGTTCTATTTTCCACACATTTCTTCTTCCTAAAGTCCATGCAGTGTGGCACTGGTAGTCATGTTTTCTACAACCTTCTGTCTCATGTACTTTCAATCAATTCTGATACAGATGATACCCTATACCATGATATCAAACTGTCTAGCATTTTCTCTCTCGGTCTCCCTGTGCCTCTCTTCTCCTCCAACTTTCCCACTGTCATGATGTACTTCAGTGTTCTCTTTCTCATGACATAACCAAAGAATGTATATTGTCCCTTTCTCATACAGATGTTTCTCTCACAGCTAGAGAAACTGGAGTGCATACAGAATAAAGCTATGCAGGTGATCCTGGGATGTACAAGAGACGCCTCGATTGCAGATAGGCTAAAGGTGCAGCAGGCTAAGTAATATCTCAGAGTAGCTGCAGACAGATGTTTCAACCAAATTATACTCAGCTGGTTAGCAGACAGTAGGACTTTTGATCATCATACATCGTCTACCCTGGTGCAAATGTTTCAGCCATTTGATCAAGATAAATATGAAGAGAAAGCATGTGCACAAAAAGAGACATCTTTTGACTATCAGAAATCTCCTGTTATGCTTGCTCCAAAGAGAGTTTATGCTATTTGTTTTGAAGGAACTTATCAGTGGCAAGCATATAGCTGTTACATACTAGAAATAATAATGAGATACCCTCAAGAGAAAAGGATAATTAAATCAATAATACAAAACAATAAACTCATGCACAAGACAACTATCTTATTATGGTCATATTAGTCATTATATTGTACCTTAGACAGGGCAGAACCAATTATGCAGCAACATGTAAAGAGAATTTAATATTGGTGCACAAATGCACACGTTCCCCCCCACAAAAGAATACATACCCCAAAACTGCCCTGCATATGAGACATTAAAGTAAAACTTTGGTCTACAAAAATAAAGTGGAAGGTAAACTTTAAAGACCACTGAATGAACTAAAATGACAGTGAAATCTATACTCAATACAAAATTGCAGATACAAACTGTTTAAGGCAAACAAAAGAATAAGAAGTAATGAAACAAAATGTTTAAAAAACTTACCAAATCTACAATATTAGCTACATCAAGTGCATACTGTGTGACATGCTGTTGACTGAACTCCAAACCCATATACTGTGAAATCAAACAAATAATTTAATAAATAACATATGAGGCGTTTTATAACACACTTTGTTCATTAGAAGATGTTTAAGTACCTGTAAGACCAGAGTATAAATGTAGATCAACGGTAAACATTTTCAAAGAAAAATATTTTCTGATAAGCAAATTTTACCATTTGATCATTCATAAAAGGCTCATATATACTGTTTGTAACATGCTATTGAAGGGCCTTCGCCTCTTTCAAAACATCAAGACTACTTATTTCAGATGACTGAGAAAT